GGGGGGGGGGCAAATTGTCCCGGGCCCCGAGTTGCTGGGGGCCCCTGAAAAATTTTTGTTGGCCCCAGCCTTTTTTGTGTGTTAAATATTTCCGCGCAAGGACAAGAGATCTGTTTTCTTGGGCTAAGTACCGAATTTTGGCATAAAAAAATGAGATAAAGTCCCTCGAAAGCAATTGCAACGTACTCATCCGGAAAAATTTTGTACTCCGGAAAAAATTTTTGACCCCTAAAATGGTACACTGACCGAAAATTTTTTGGCGACGGGGGGGAGGTTGTTTTCAATTTTTTTAGATAGGGGCCCCTAAAAAAAAATTTGCCCAGGGCCCCCGCCAACCTCTCGGCGGCCCTGTCAGGAATATAGACTTAACGATTCTGTCATGTCATGTCATGCCATGTATGCGAAACAAATCTCAACAGAGCATTAAGTGAACTCTTTGAGTGGTGTTTAGTAAACCAGCTTACTGATACTCCTCATCCTGGAAAAGGTGAAGTTATGTTATTCTCAAGACAACCTATAGTTGGTCCCCTTACCCCATGCAGTATCCTTGCAGGTCAAATGATCAAATGGGTAAAGAAGACGAAACTTTTGGGGACTGTCATTGTCATTGATCACAAACTGAGTTGGAGTGATCATATGTCAGAACTACGATTGAGCTTTGTTAACAAAATCAAAAATCATCAAAGAATGAATATCAACTTTGAATGAGTATCAACAAAGAATTTTTTTTGTGGTCAAATCATCCAGGTTTTTGCCGACCAATGTGCTTCTAGACTTATACTTCAAACTGATCCTTCCATCAATTACCTACTCTCTTGTCATCTGGGGCAGATGTAGCAACAAGGACAATTTCAAGGCACTGGAACGTTTGCATTGCAGAGCTGCAACAATTATTTTCAAACAACCGAGAGACATGCCTCTGAAGATGTACCTACTCGACCCGGTTGGAACACATTATTTTTCTATTATAAGAAAGCTATTCTAAAATTGGTTTGTAAAATAATTAGGAATGTTACACCATAGACATATAGTTACACCAAACTCACTGTCTGTTTTAGCAAATAGACTTGACTGATTGTTCTCTGCGAGTCAATCATCAACTGTCTGCACCTCGCTTCAATACAGGCGCAATTCTGTGGAATGCTATCAATCGTGCATGATCACGCTAACTTAATGCTGTCTTAATCCTTGACGACCACAATGTAAACGTCTTCGTAAATAAGGCGACAGCCGACAAGAACGAACACGTTTATAGACTACACTATATATAGAATATTAAATTAGTAACTTTAATTAATATAGTAAAATAATGTAGTGTATGTCGAAGTGTATGTTTATGTACTAATGTACTGTAAGCCCACAACCCCACAAGCTTAATCTTTAATCCTAATCGTGTTTAAATAAAATATACTATTATTATATCTGCATGGCCAATAATCAATACGCTCTCTTCTCTTAAGCTTGCCCAGCCCCCCGCCCACACAACCCAGAGGCCACACAACCCAGAGGCCATACAAGCCAGAAACGTATTTCTAATTTTATGAATTGCCCTAGCTGGAGTTCAACTTATTTTAGATGATTCGCATGAACTGGGAAGATCGTCTGAGTTAATGAATTACGCAGAAATGTCTTGATGGTAGCTTGCGAGCAGGCTCTCTGATGACGAGCTCTGAGAGAGCCTGCTCGCAGGCTAGTGTACGTCTAAGTCACAGTGATGTCTAACGAGGTGAATTGATATGTTGTGATGTCGACTGATATGTAAGGATATCAAGGAAAATACTATTTCGCTGACCTCAGAATGACATTTCGTCAAAACTTTTTTCTTCAAGATTGGTTTAGAAACAAACTTGGAGTAGGGTTAGGTTA